TTGAATGTTAGTAAATAGTAATCATTGTTTTTAAACAGTTATATTTCCAACAATATGGTTTTCCAGAGAAATAACTTGCACAACTGCAGATAATGTTCCAATTTACTCACACAACTAACCCTTAGCAATAAGATTGCCACAGAAGCAGCAAAACTGATTGTGTGAGAGGATAGAATGAAAAGGAAAGGAACGCAATTTGCAGCAGGTTTTTGTTGAAATAAATCAACTAGAACTTTTTAAAATAGTTGTTGGAGGTTTTTATTGTTGTCTTTTTTTTTCTTTTTTTCTTTTCTAAAGCAGAACTGCAGACTTTGCAATAGACCTCATTCTTTTCCTGCAGACTGTTTTGTAGTAGTCGTGGCTCTTTTTAATGACATTGATGGAGATTTTGGTTCTTTTGGATATTCCTGTCAGCTCTGTGAAAGTGTCCCTTAAAATCACAGGAGCATGTAACTGACCTCTGTGTGCTGGTATGCCAGAGATAGTAAGGACAGATGTATGTAACTGATGTATTAAGTATGTTCAAACAGAATAGATATATAAAAATTAAGTAGAATAATTTCTTTAAATATGATAGCTACATACCTGCTTAAGAAGTTTAGATTATAATGCTCTGCTGCTTGTTGTAATGTTACTTGCTTATCTATAACCATGTCATCTAAGCTTCCCTCACATATATAAAGCTGTGTAAAGCCTGATGAATATACGGTTAGAGGTTTCCGGAAAATATCTAGAGGATGAAAGCTGGTATTTTCTTCTCTCAATTAACAAATCAGGAGATTAAGTATCCTCACAGAACATTAGAAACCATTGGACTGTTGAAATGCTATGTTTTAATGTGAGCAATCAATCACTTGTGATATTAAATAGTCTGCAAAATGATTTACTAAAACAGAGCATTAACCCTTGTGCCTACCAGATTACAAGGAGAAAAAATATAATCCTATATGCTGATGATTTGATGCTGCAACATAACAGCATTGATTATCTAGGACTTTTTGTAAAGAGGAAGGTCAACTACAGTAGAACTCATATCTGCTTTGTGTGTTGCAATCAAAACTCATGGCAACATCTGTATTCAAAGTTGTTTGACATTTTCAGTGTTTCTTGTAACAACTAAACCTAAATCAGCTTGGAGTATGTTTCTTCCAAAATCAATGTCTTTTTCATGCACATCATTTTTAAAAATTAGTCCAAAATAAATTTTTTCACCACTCGTCAGAAATGCAAATGTCCTTTCCGCACAATTTTAACATCACCCAACTTGGCTGCTTACTGTACATATTTACCACAATGCAGTACTAGGATTTTGTTCCTCATTCTGAAATGATTAACATTTCTTTAAATATGGGTCACTCACTGGAAGTCATTGCTTTGCTATCAAATGGGCTCCCATCAGAAAGTGGTGGAACACTCCGGTTCTGCCTGCGCTTCCCTTTGTGGTGATCACAACATCTCCTGCATGAACAGTGCCTCCTACCTTTGCATCTGGAGAAATGTAATCCCTTTAAGCCTCATCCCAACAACAGAAACAAAAAAAAAAAGAATTTTCTCCTTTCCTTTCTCTGATCTTGACCCAATTATCTTCCCCCCCCCCTCTTTATGAGTAATAAAACTTCGTTGCTTCTGAAATACAGGCTGTAGAGGTCATTGAGATACAATAAGAAAACAGCACTTGAGAGCCATCTGAAAGGGAAAGAGAAATAACAATGTGAAACACTGTCTGCATTCATATAAAAAGCCAATGGAGATAAGTTCAAAGCAAGAAGGAGCAATCAGAGATACCAAAATTAATGGTAGTTCCTAAGAAATGCTGTACTTGGTCAGAGGTGGCTACTTCCCCTTATTATGTGTATATTGCTAGGGCTATGTATTATTTTGCATTTATCAACACTGAAGTTCCACTTACCATTTTATTACTGAGTCCACAATGGACTGACTGTTCTATGGCTATTTATTACTCATGGTGCCAGTGTCTGGCTCACATCCCTTCAACAAAAAGGCTCATGTTTTAACTTGGATTCACTTTACTAGCTGACCTAGCATGGCTGCAGATGGATTAGAGGGAAATAGTTCACTGAATGCCTTACTGTTGAGAGTGCTCTGGTAATGATGATAATAATAATAAAGGTTCAGGCTAGCATGGCATTATATGTGTGAAAACAATGGGCATGTAGTTCAGAAGACACCTTATAATGATCTGACAATACAGAAGAAGTGACTGGATTCTAATTCTAATTGCATTTTAAGGCCACTACAAGTTTTCCTACTTTTATTATTTGCTTGAGTGTGTTTTGGGTGTGCTGCCTGTAGGGCAAAATTTTCTACATGTTCTGGTCACAAGAATTACTATAGACTAAATTTTCAGATGTTCAGTTTTTCTAGTTTTGGGACAGATTTTCAAAGGAAACCATTTCCTATCAGATCAAATTTCAAGCCCTTAGGGATTCAGTAGCTACTACTGCTCTGCTCTGCAACAGCATTAAATGTCATATTTTTAGGAGAGTTCAGAGTCTGTTGGAGATCTAGATAGCATTTCTATGATAATGTCAGAATTCCATCCTGCTTCTGTGGGTCTGGGAAGTGGAATCAATCCTCTTCCCTCTGCTTCTCTCTCACTGGCGTGGTAATCACAACATTTTAAAATAATGTGCTAATAGTGCAAATAAATATCTGCTATTATTTTATTTTTTTCTTTTCAGGCAGTTTTTTTTGTTTTTTTGTTTTTTTGTTTTTTTGTTTTTTTTTCCCTTATAGACTTATGAATGCAGAGCTGTAAAATCTGTGAATCTGCTGGCACATAGGCAGAGCAGTTAAACATCAAACAAAATATGCACATTCACGTTCCCACTCTGGATGCAAATGGATCAGCCAAACCAACAGCTCAGGGAAGACCACAGCCCTGGCTCCCCATTTTTCCTCCCCTGCCACCTTTATCCCACATAATCCTTGCATTTCTCCTGCTATACCCTTTCCCCTATAGTGGCTTTACAATGTGCTATCACCCACCCTTGACACCAGCTTTGTTTTCTCGTGCTACTGCAGGAAAGATGCCACCTGTGTTCAGAATGGGATCTTCCACTATTTAGCAAGCCTTTGCTGAATGAGTCATCAAAGCCGGCTGGTATTGGCTGGCCTGGTGAGTACCCAAGGGATTGCCTGGTAGAGGCTGTGAGGCCTTGCTTCATTCACAGAAATGTGAGGTTGCTAGCCAGCCCTTCCATTCACACACTCTCATTCATATTTTGCAGTTTTGCTAGCTGCTTCTAATGAAGAGAGCCATTTGGGAGTGATAGGGTTTTCTGGGCAGTTGAGTCAAGTAAAATTAGGCTATGATATGTATATTTGCTGTTGCTATGCTAGGAGGATGAAGAAAGGAACAAATGCTTTGAGGATGCTGTAGCAGGTTGGCAGTGTGATGGTGAGAGGCTATTCCACAGATCACTAGGAACACAGACACTGCCATTATTCATCACTGCGGGGACAAGAGGTGCTGATTTAATTTAATGGCATAAATATACTAATTAAGTAACTGTATTTAATCTGTTTTGTTGTATTCGAATACTGTAGCCTTTATTGAGGGAGAGGGAAGGAATACCACAGGACTTTTCCTTTAAAATTTTCTGCAGTTATTTGTCTGTTCAAAAAAGAATGCTATATACTGTATTTTTGTATGTCTAAAAGATGTTTTGAAGAGAAGGTCAGTTTAAAAAAAGAGCCATATGGCTTGTGATGAGCATTGTATTTCACAATGCTGTATACACTTTGCATTTTAAAAACAATAAAAAAGAGAGAAAAATGAAGTATCTGATTTCTTCATGTTTTTCTCCTCCCCAGATCGAGTGCTTGTGGTTGATATTTGTGCTTAATATGAATTGGTTTATTCTTGTCCTTGTACTGCAGGACGTTAGTGAGATGATACATGGACTTTTGACTATTCCCCTTGCACTTCTCAGTTTTTCAGAATTGTAGCAAATATTCTAGGGAATGGAAGATCTATTTCACATTTTTCTTTGGAGTGAATATCAGTGGTGAAAGAAAAAGCATCTCTTACACCTGTTATTGGACGTCAGAAAAATACTTACTTCACACATAGGTACTTTATATAATCCTGCATTAAAACATAAGATTGCTGTGAGGTAGGGGAGAAGGATTGCTTTCTCTGTGAAAAACTGGAAGTAAGAATTTCTGTGAGAAATAGCATTGACACAAAAGCTTGTAAAATCTGCTAGACTGCTTTTTGTGAGGGAAAATAGTGTATTTTCTTTATTTCTATCATCTGTTTTTTAAATGCTTAAAGGTATTCTGAAAACCCTTGAAGTATCTGTATTTTGCTGGTGGAAAGAGAGGGGAATATATGTGTGTATATATTATCCAGATATTTGATTTCTAATTGTATCTTCTTTATAGATTCACAAATATGTGAGGTGAAAGAACAGTTAAACAGAAGAATAAAGTGTGGTGTTTTATAAAGGCTGTTAATTCCTTTTTAAAGGTAATTGCCTTTGGTATGAAAAGGAGTGGTGGGGGGGAGGAATAAAGTGTTAGAAGGAAATATCTGTTTGAGGAGAGAGGATAAGGAAATTTGAGAATTGATTGGTGCTAGTGTGCTGTAAGTGGGTGGATTTTTTTTTTTTTTTTTTTTTTTTTTTTTTTTTTTTTGCTACAGGAAGTGATTTGCAGTGCTCACTGAGCCTTTTGTTGAAAAGGGTCCTTCTCGTTTATGTGAGTCATGCTTTTGCTGTGAGCAAGTTGGCAGCTCTAAGCAGGACTGGGATCTCTGTTATAGAAAACTGTTTCTTCACCTAACCTTAACGTGGAACCACAAAAAATATCTTAAATATATAATTTTTTTGTTCTTCCTCATTTTATTTGCTTTTTTACCCCAAAATCTTGTTCTCTGCCTGTGTTGCTATGAATCGCCTGCTATGTTAGCACAGGCATCTCCTGCATTGGCATCAGATTTGCCAGAACATATGCAGGAAACTAGATAGAAGGGCATGCTTCAACGTACCAAGTATAACCGCTTCAGGAATGATTCAGTGACATCAGTTGATGATCTTATTCACAGTTTGTCCATGAACAGCAAGGTTTCAGCAGTTGCTACAACTTCGGCAGCACCTTCATACCTGGTCACTCCAGAGGTTCTCCGCAAGGACCAAGAAGATGGACCCACCACTCTGTGTACCCTCATCCATAAAGTGTCCCACTTGAAATTCTCTAATACAGGCAGCCTTTTGGGTATCAAAAACCTGTCCTCTGCAGTGAAGGAGCTTGCAGTCTCCAAGTTACAGGGAAGCTCGGGTGCTTCCAGCTCAGCAGCAGAAGCTTTTGACAGCACATGTAACCTTGTCTCTGCTACTTCGTGTTTGCAGCAGGACGTGAGCAAGATGAATATGGGGAGAAAAACACAGTCAGAGGAAATGCGCCCCGGAGATGAAGACTGGAATCGAAGGAGCAGCATTGTCGATAAACCCTCTCAAGGATGGCTGCACTGGAGTGAGAAGATCCTGGGACCTGGTGTGACGTACACTGTGAAGGTTGGTCTGATTTCTTCCATTCTCTTCTTTTTATCAATGAAAAATTCTGTGCTGGTTTTGATGGCAGGCTAGAGGGGCAGAAAGGATCTCTATTTGTATGCTCCTTTTTTGTGCATAATGCATGGTATGTAAATGCAGAAAGGCAGTGTTGGAAAGCAGTGTTAATTACTTATACCAGCTCAAACCTGCAAATAGACTTCTTGTCAGATAATATTCTGCAGCTGAGTAAAAATATTGTTTTTAAGCTAATGGCTATTTTTATTACTATTGTGTTGGTTGTTCTCACCCATCTTCCTAATTTAGGTTTTCAGAGTTACCTAGCATACTGTATGTATCTTGGATGCATGGGCTTCCAACATATCTGGTGCAATCTACAGTAGGAAAGAAATACACCCTGATGTATGAACAACCATCTATCCTGCACGATATTTCAGATTGAAAATACCTTTAAAGGCATGTGTGCTTTTAATGTGAAAGTATAAGGCACAGATTGTAATTCTTATCATGTTCCACAAATAGAAATACTGTTGTGGGTAGAGCAGGAAAATGCTTGTTTTACATAATGAGAATTCAGTCACTTTTAATGTTATTGCTCTTCAATTCACTGATACTGAATGTCAATAGCAGCAAATCACAAGTTTCCAGGGTAATATTTTGGTATGCTTTGAAAGTATTTTGAAATGATCTGTTAAAATAGATCCTCTGAGAATAGGTTATGTGCTGCATAGTTTTGCAGTCAGGTATAATACTGGTTATGCCTTCTAGCATCAATGTAAAAATAACATCTGCAATTCATTCTTCAGTCACTCTTCTTTGCTGAGAGGCTTTTGCATGATGTTTAACTGTAGCAGACTGTTAATAAGATTACAGACCTATTTTAAATCTCCCCTTATTCTGGGGACAAATGTTTTGTTTGCAATACAAAGCATGATTTTGTATCAGGATGCTTTAAAAGTTAATTACAAGAGTTACTTAACTCTTAACAGTATTTCTCAAGTGCCATTATCAAATGCATATTTAACCTTTGGAACACTGGGAAGCAGCTTTCATGTGTTTCTGCTAGTTATAAGTTTTGCAAGCAATGGTAGATGAAATAAGTAGGCCAATTCAGAGACTGGTAATCTAAAATAGCACTTCCTGACTATTCTGACATTTAGTGCGACTACAAAAGAAAAAGAGAGTCAGTGTTACCCTTCGGGATATAAAATGCTTCTCTTTTACTGTTTGAGAAGCATCTCGATAAAAATGTCCCATTAATGCTAGATGTAACTCTGTGGAGACCCTTCTGCACAAGAAACACTCTAGTTGGAAGAAAATTGTTTAATGTTCTCTGGTTAGGTCAGGAAACTCAGCTGATTTATTTATTTTGCTTTGGGCACTGTAAGTAGGCAGACAGTCACTATGAGAATTCACAGCTTTTTTTTGTTTTACCTGAAATCAAACACATTGTTCATTTTCTGTGATTTTCATTGGTTGAATTTATACTTTGAGTTTAAAAGAAAATTACAATTATATATGAGCAAACTTTCATTTAATCATCAACCTCTATCTAATACGGATACTAGAACAAGAACTTCAATTAGCTGATTTCCAATATGTGAAAGTATACTTCTAAATATTATGAATATTAGAATTTCAAAATAAATCATTAGCACTTTGTACAACTTACACTACTGGTGTTTATTTTCGTGTCATTAGAATTTACACAATCTATTTTTAATGAAGTATTGTTTCTATTAAAACTGGGTGATATTTTACATTTTGTACTCTTTGCCATAATATCAATGGTTAATGAATGAATGAAAATAAACCTGTTCTCATTTAGCTATAATTTGTCTGTTCATTAAGTATCTCAGAATTTCTCTCAGCAACTGCAGCATTCATATAGATAAGAAGTGCAGTTCCTGCATCATTAAACACTGTCAGTTCCCAAGGCTTTTATGCATTCAGACTATCAAATCAATAGATAGATAATGTACACTGAAGGGAAGCATTCCTTGGATACCTCAAGGCTGTATTGACTGTTTGGGAGACAGGCACTGTGTTTAATTATTGCCGTATGCTTTGCAGAAGCAAAAGTCATACGCAATTAGTTAAGTAAGACAAAAATTAGATTTGTTGTTAACCAGCATTTTTTGTGCAAATGTGCACTGGATTGCATTTTCCATATTCAGTGAAAATAATCTCTGGGACAGGGTAAATAATCAATGCTGGGCAGCTAGGTAAATCATATTGGAATCTCTTGAAGTAAGAGAAATAAATTACTACGTGCAGTGTATAACAAATGTAACACTTTCATGACACTCTTTTGATATGTTTCTGTTCTCCAACTCTTCTGCAGAGCCTTTTTCTGTTTTCTCCAATCATTTTCTGGCAGTGTTCATTCCTGTTTTTCCTTAGCCATTTTGTAAATGTGCAGTGTAATGGTAATTCTTGAAAAGAAGTGTAGAGTTATGGTAAACAGGAACTGTGTTCTGATTTCCATGGTCTGCTGCAATGGAATTATTTTCTGCCATTGGACTACTGGCACATTCTCAATTTATTTTTTTTTCTTCCCATGGATTTTGCATTGAATTTTTGTACATTACTTTCACTAGAAAATTTCTTCACAGAAAAAGCAAGCGTTTGTGTAACAAATCAGATTTTGTCCATAGCCAAAACCAGGGACATAAAGTAGTAAGGTACTGGTACTTAAAAATACCATTCAACAGTTTAACAAATAATGAATTAATGGGAAAAAAAAAATAGTTTGCAATGATGAAACTAATTGATAAGCTTATTGTTTTTCCCACAGGGAGACTGACAGAGTGATTTTAAATGTTCATGTTGTCAGAGAGTCAAATACATAAAATTAAAAAGTGTTAACTTCTGAAATGTAACAACAGTTGAAATCTATTTATTTCCAGTGACAAATATCTGCTGATGCATTTAACTGAGTAATGGCAGAGATTTTCCAGATTTTAGTTGATTGAACTAGGAGTATAATCAACAACCATGATAAGAGGCAAATATACATCTGACTTTAGATAACTTGTGGATGGGCATTACAATAAAACTGTGCTGAGTTTAAAATTCCATTTTTCAGCAGTTCAAAAATATATAGAGAGCCAAAACACTGAAATATAATGTTAAAATTATATATTTAATATTTCTGAAAGAGCCTTGAAAACAAGATAGTGGCATAGAAAATGCTTGGGTAAATCCTATATTGAAAAAACAGTTCAACAGTTCAACAGTAAATCCTATATTGAAAAAAGGAGTTACAAAGGTAATATCTTAAAGAAGCTACACAAACCTTGCAAATAATATTTCAGTGAAAAGCAAATTAGTTTATTAAGACAAAGTAGCTAGAGTTAATGGCTAAGTATTATTCTTTAACATTATTATTTCTATATTTTAACACTTATATGTCTTGGGATGGGTGAACATTCCTAAAAGAATATTCTCACTGAATTAACTACTTCCTTATGCTGAAAGTATGTGCTTAAGGATGAAGTAAATTACTGAGCTTTATGAATCTATTGCATCTTTTCCTACTTCATTGTAGTATTCCCTTCAGCATATGTGCAGGGCTAATATAATTTCAGCAGTCCTCTGCGAGTAGGTACCAAGATTACAACATCACTTTCTTCTTTAGTGGCTAAGTCAGTCTGCAAAGTATAATCTTACATGGAGCTAACATGGCAGAAACTGTGACATACGTGCCATTTTTTTCCATCTTTTCTAACAAAAATTGGATTTGCTGCTGGCCTACAGCAGCAGTAAAATACCATATTTCATGGTTTTGTCATGGTAGTCTCCATTTTCCTGTTTGAAAGGTACTTCGTGTACCATAAGAAAAAGATTGAAGAGGGTTCATTGTTTCCTCTTACTCTTTTAAATAGACATAAAGTCAAAATTATAACCAAATTTACAATTTTCATTTTACCTTTTTATTCATTTTTTAAGAACGTTAATGTTACAGCAAGGATTTTTAGTTTCCTTTCTAATTGATGCTTGTTTTATCATTATTTCTTATGAAAAAATTAATGACTTTTTTTTTCGTTTCGTTTCAATTTTTTTATTTTTGAATTCTGCTTCTATCAGTCAAGTTGCAGTTGTGTTAGTAGTTTATCACTGATATTTTATGCCCTGAGTAAAAACCTAGTTGGTAGGATTTTGTGCATGTGATTCTAATAACAAGGAAAATAGTCCCAAACCGTTTACGTGCTTAAGATGTGGATTTTATATTTCAGGCAAATAGTGATAATAGCACTGAAAAAAGACCCTTTATTTGAGATTCTGCTCTCCTCTATGTAGGTACCCAAAGAGTACTAGCCACAGCTCAAAGACTTATAAGACTGGCTTGTCATCTTGGCTGTTAATGCTGCATGCATGAATTTTTTAAGGAGAGAAAGAGGAAAAATGTGATAAAGACAGTACTGGTTTTAGCAGTTGATTCCTGCCGACATATTATATTACTTTGCAATCAGTTAGTGTCCTTCACATTTGCTTTGCTGTTGTTTGAACTATGAAAAATACGTCTATTATTCGGTTCAGAATCCCATTCTGGACAGCTTCCCACATCTGGGTTTGTTGTAGTGTGAACTGATTTGAAAAGAGACTTTCCCACAGAAGTTAAATCAAATCCTACAAACAGAAATCATACAGTCAATATTACTCTAACAACATAAATCAAGTATTATTTCTTTACTTTTACACACCTTTCAGAGAAAGAAAAGCACCTGGTGATTTCAGTAGTGAAAGAACCAATACTGAAGGCAAGTATCTGGTCTGCAGAATAGCTGGGGTATTTGCAAAATAGTATAATTTGTGCAGCTAAGGTTGTTTTGTAAGGGACAGAGTTTGGCCACTGTTCATCTTGATTTCAATAGTTTAAGTGAGAATGACATCCTTTTTTAAAATGAAACTGATACTGTTTTAAAGTCCACAGATAAAATTACCTAATCCTTTTAGGAGGCAAAACTACAGACAGAATTCTTTCTTTATTTTCCCTTAGA